GACTTAGGAATCTGCTACAATCAGCCTATGGAGTTACATTGTGATAATAAAGCTGCTATTGAAATTGCCCATAATCAAGTTCAACATGATAGAACCAAACATGTAGAAGTGGATAGACACTTTATCAAAGAAAAGCTACATCAAAAAATTATTCAATTTCCCTACATCAAATCTGAAGATCAGTTAGCCGACATCTTGACAAAGGTTGTATCAGGAAAAGTGTTTGAAGAAGCAATTAGCAAGTTGGACATGATTGATATCTATGCACCAACTTGAGGGGGAGTGTTGAAATGAGATAATATTTGCTGAGTTGTACAGTTGTTTGAATTTTAATCATTGATTACACAATTACATAATCACAGGAGATTTATATTAAATAGATTAATTTTCTTATTTGCAGTTGATTGACATAATCATAGGAGTTTTGTATTAAATAGAAATAGTAATAGGTTATTTCATTTTTTTATTCATAGCTAATTGACAGCTAATTTGTAATGGACCTAGAGTCCTCATTTATGTATATAATTACCCAAGTAGAGGAAGAATAGACATGTAGAAATATTCATAATATGACACCATTGTTTTGACAGTTACTACCAAATAATGTTACTACCAATGTTACTATCATATTGTAACCGTTGATTTTTGCTAATCAACGGTTATCATTTATTGTGAATTAATAATTAATTAATGAGTTTGATTTAAGGAAATAACCGTTGATTGGCGAAAATCAACGTCTAAGATGTAGTAGTAACATTATTTGGTAGTAACAATATCTTATCCCTTTATTATTACTATTAATTTTATTAATTTTTATTTTATTAGTTTTATTATTACCATCTTTTATTATTATATTATTTTTGTTAATTTTATTATTACTATATTTTATGGAGTTTCAAAATTTTTTATATCAATATATACTTGGATAATTTACATTAAATGTATTTTCTTTTTTTGCCAGCTAGTATAATAATAATATTATTTAATCCTAAAATTGATTATAAAAAATCAAGAAACAACATTAATTCAAAAGGCAACATATAACTCGATTTAAAAAAAAGTAAGTATATATCAAATCATAGTCATAGCATAACAAATAGAATAGTTTAACTTGTTATTGGATTCTATGATGCTTTTTTACGACACCAGAGTGAAAGAAAGGTATGGAAATTGAGAAAATCATACACAATTTATCCAATATGTTGAAAAAGGCACAAATAAAGGTAGGGGGAATGAACTAGAAATATAAAAATAAGGTAAAAAGGACCTAAAACTCCACTTTTTGCACTTTTCATATTATTCATGTTAGGCTTGGTATATACATGTCATGTTAATCATTTTCTCATATTGAGTTTGTGATCATAAAAAATGGAAAGATTGTGGAACTAATGCGCTTGAGATGAATAATCTAAAAATGTAAGAATTTTGATGATGATAAACAAATACCAAAAAAGGAATGAAAAGTGATACAACTTGCAACAATGAAAAATAAGTTCAAGAAAGACAAATCAACAAGTGCATAATCCATCAAGACATATGCCAAAACTCAAAAGAGATCAATATTCAATCTACATCGAAAGAATCTTAGTCTAAAAGCCTTCAAATAGTACATTTATAGGACTTAGACTTAAATATAAGGGTAATTGATTAAAATTACATAAATGAGTTAAAAGTAAACATATTTTTTCAAATTGCAAGATCTACGGCTCTGTTAACTTTTTTTAAAAATAGTTTTTTGAATTTTAGAACAAAAATACTCGTTTGGTATGGTATATTTTGTAAAAAAAAATTAAAAATTGTCACTACTTTTTTTTAATTTTTAGAATCAAATTTTGAGAACATGTGTCAGTTGTTTTTGTTTTCTGTTTTAGTTTTACTTTCAAAACAAAAAAACATAAAAAACACTTATTTTCATAACTATTCTATAAAATAATTTTAAGAACAAAAAAATCAGAACACAATCAATCAGGCCCTGTATCTTTTAAATTCTTGAAAAAGATTTGAAAAACCAAGGAAAATATTTTTTCCAAATCAAAAATATGCATTTGAGATGGTTAGAAGTCATTGGAACAAAAAATAGGATGCTTTGGATTACTTAAGTAGCGAGTGTAAGAAAGGTATTCAAAACTTTTCCAGTAAGGTGATGGAATTCGAATCATTTATGAAAAGGATTCAAATCCCTACTTCAACGAAAGAGGGGTTTTGAATCCTTCGCAAAAATTATTCTAGCCTTTACCTGCAATAAGTTTTCTAACAACTAATAACTATTATATTATATTAAAAACAGAGCGTGGGAACAAAAAGAAGAGATGATTAAAATATTTAATAATGGTATATATGTCGAAAATTTTAAGTGAATATTTCTAGTTCATGCTTTTTTCTTTCCCACCATAGCTTACTTTGTGTTTCACTGAGTTGAAATATGAAACATTCTCGTTTATATGATTATATCTATCGTTTCATGATAGATTACTATTTGTTTTACTTTAAAAGTAAATTGTTGTAGTTCCTGTAATTTTCTAATCTTTAATAGAAATAAAAATGATACAACAGAATGATCGGGATCATTTGGAGAAGATTTTTATGGATCACAAAAACACTATTGTTTTCGGAAGCACAGAAGAAATGACCGGAGAATCATGAGAAAATCTGCAAAAACGTCTAGCATAAAATGAAAATGAAGGAAAAAAGTTATATCTCAATAAGAAAAATGTAATCTATTTTGCCTGTGTAAATTTATGGATAAGCTAGTCAATTATGCAAATTCAAAACATCACCCCCTTTTATTTTAATAATTTTAAGACTGGTGAACTTTGATCTTCATATTTGTTGTTTGCAAAATGAGATGACAATAATGGAGCAAAACTAGGATGATAAGAAAGTGATACTTTTGGTTGAAGAACAAAAGGCAAGATTTCCATTTTCTTCTATCTACAGTAGTTAATTCAGTTACATGTATCCATTAAAGATTTAAATTTTGACTTGGTCATTTTGGGGTTGAGCGTTGCCGAAAGAAAATGAGACACTGTATAAAAAAATTTATGAACTACAAAGAGAACTCGAAGCCAAACAAGCATTGAAATTGGAGATTGAGCCTTTGAGAGGAGCTCTTCAAGTAATGAAACACATGGGGGGAAGATGAAGATGTGGAGGAGAAGAAAAAATGGATGCAAATAAATTGGTTCTGCAGGATAAGGAGGAGGAATTGGAAGCAATGAAAGAACTTCAACAAACTCTTGTGGTCAAGAAGTGTACAACCAATGACGAGTTGCAAGATGATCGCAAGGAATTAATAAGTGTATATATCTTTGTCCATATATAAATATGAATCTCTTCGATGTGATTATGTGTATAGGCTTTCAAGTTTCAACTCATCCAATTCCAATGGTCTAAAAATCAACTTTGGAAGGTCTTCTCCAACTAATCATTCTCAAAACCAAAATAGAGAGGGTTGCATTTGTATAAAATATGTCGTAGACCTCACCACACATACAAGGTTATTTGCATTTTTTAATTGACATATAATTGCTTATATATTCATTATAACATAGTGTTTCATGTTTAATAGTCTATATGATCTTGTAATTTGTTAACATTCAAATCATGTAGTTGGAGTCATATTCAGGGTACAATGACATAAGTGGTTTGCTATGATATGCAAATGCTTTACATACTGTGTTTTTTGCTGCTGTTTCTATATTTAAGGAATTTAGATTTTTCAATGGTTCCATCATATTCTGTGAATCTTATGGTTCCTTTGTTCTCCTTTGTCAATTTTCCATACAATTGTCTCCAAATGAGATGATTTTAGTCCATAAGGTTTAACATTTTAGGTAAAAATTAGTTGAATTAGGTTAGTTAGTTTGTTGTTGTATGCTACCATGGTTTAGTTGTTTGTATTTTGGACTAATTTGATTTCCTTCGCAGAGGATAGGGAAGACAAAGAGGACTCAGGCTTTTATTGGTGTGAAAAGAATGGGGAAGCTTGATAGTAATTCATTTTTGAAAGCAGCTAAGATAAAATTTTCTGATGATGAAGTGAATGTGAGAGTTGTGGAGTTGTGCTCACAGTGAGAGGCTTATCTTAAAGATCTAAGCTGGAAACCATTTAAAATTATGTCAGATAAAGAAGGAAACCCCAAGGTACAATGAATTTAAGAGTTATATGTGTTCAAATGGAAGTTATCTTTTTTATTTTTTGTGGTCATTTTAATTGTGGACAACACCTGATTGCCTCATTATTCATGCTAAGTAATATTTAAAAAACGCAATGCATCACTTCATAATAGTTATAAAGCAAGGTATGTTGTTGGTGTTGTTTAAAGATCTATTGGCAGAGCAAGGTGCTGTTCATCTCTTTAGCACTTGATTTGATTGTTTATTTCCTTCAGGCTCCATACATGGACCATGACCTAAATATATGTTAAAATGTGGCCAAAATCGTGGTTAAATTTAATTTTCAATAATTAACTCGTATTTTATAATTCTTGGTTATTAATTGATTTTAACATCGCTAAGAAATGGAAGTCAAGAATAAAGTTAGACATTTCTATAATCTTATTATCCTCTTGTAGAGTTTCTCTTGCATGTCAATTCATCATTAATACATTATCTCATACAAGTCTCACCATTAACTCTCTCTTTATTAACATGGGGAACCCCACATTCATCTACCCCAAACCAAAGACCAACAACTATAATTTCCTCAACATTCATACATATGCCACTAACCATATTGCTCTAGAGATAATGGAAGAACAATAAATGTTTCAAAGTGTAAATAAAATAAAAATGGAAGAATGTAGAATGTTTTTTAATTCCATATTTGTTGGAGGAAGATTACTGTGATTCAAGTTCAAAAGAAATTCACGTGATTTTGGAAATCAATTGGACCTTATATGGGCCGAAGTCAAAGCCCAGCCCATAGAACATTGAAGACATAATAACCTGGCCCGTCCTTGTCTGAACTCTGAACTAAAAAAAACCTCTGTGACTCACCTCACCGGAGGCTCAGTGGTGAAGAAAGCTTTAGAAGCACTTCACTTGCTCACTTCAGATTCAATTTGTATTTGTATCAATGAAACGTAGCACGGAGTACACAATGCTTCGAAACGACGACGTACGCTTCATTTCTTCTTCCATTAAAATCCCTCTTCCTCCCAAACCCCCAAACTCTCCTTTCGAAACCGCACGTTCTCACATCGCCAACGCCACGAACTCGGTTGCGCAACTCATTCACTCGTTCAGTGCTCACTCCACTGAGCTGACTCGGTCCGTGCTCCGAAAATCCTCCCCACTCTGCTCGGCGACGTTGTCGTTAACCGATGGAAAGAGAGGAGCGTCTCCGATTCTGTGTTCAGCGTCTCTGTCTCTGGCGGAAGAGGCTCAGCAGAAAGTTCGACAGAACGAGGAGAGGGTTCTGATCAGCGAGGTGCTGGTTCGAAACAAGGATGGGGAAGAACTCGAGAGGAAGGACCTCGAGGCAGAGGCTGTGCAAGCTCTCAAAGCTTGTCGACCTAACTCGGCTCTCACAGTGCGCGAGGTGCAAGAGGACGTGCATCGCATAATCAACAGTGGCTATTTTTGTTCCTGCGTGCCGGTCGCAGTTGATACCCGTGATGGTATCCGATTAATATTTCAGGTATGTTCTGTTTAACAGTGACAGTTACGCATTGAGCTCTTCGTTTTATTATAATCTTTATGCTATTTGAATAGAATTTTTCCCTCTAGTGTTGTAGGTTTTAGTTTGCATTCAGCTAATGTCAATAATGTTATGAAGTAATGAATGCTGTGATGTTAGTACTGGTTTCTTGTGGCATAAGGTAGAACCAAATCAAGAGTTCCAAGGGTTGGTATGTGAAGGAGCTAATGTTCTTCCGGCTAAGTTTTTAGAGGAATCTTTTAGAGATGGATATGGTAACTTATTCTTCTTTCTCCTTGTCCGTGAAATTTTAATCATACAAAATTAGCTCATGTATGACCTTCACTGTGTTCTAATTTACATGTTAAACTGTGTAGGGAAGGTTATCAATCTGAGGCGCTTGGATGAAGCAATATCTTCCATTAATGGCTGGTACATGGAACGTGGTCTTTTTGCTATGGTAAATTCCCCGTAACTTTTGTTCAAACTTCAAAATCTAGCAATAATATAATCTTCCTGCTTGGAGGTCGGTGGGAGTCCAGAATGTGGATCCATTTTTCATGTTTTCAGTAGCCTTAGCTGCAGAAAGTATCAAAATATTTATATCCTTCAATTTGGCTTGCCTTATGCCCTAACCAGTATTGCGATTGGAATTTTTCCCCCCTGCCTTGATTATCACCTTAGATTTCAGCTGTTGAGATTCTCTCTGGGGGTATTCTGAGATTACAAGTTTCAGAGGCCGAGGTCAATAATATTTCCATACGATTTCTTGACAGGAAGACGTAAGCACCTTCTTTATATTTGATTTACACACTTATTACCCTCATGCAGACACAAACATAACTGCAAGATTCTTAATCGTACTGGGGGGTTTTATTTGCAAACTTGATTTTCAACCTGTAGAGGTGAGACTACTATAGGGAAGACAAAGCCTGAAACGATACTTCGGCAAATTACAACCAAGAAGGGACAGGTACTTCCTTGACCTAGCACTGGGTACTCCAACAGATGATGGTTTATATTTTGTTGTGAGTTAGCTTTTGGAAGTTTTATGAAGTAGTATATATTTAACTTTTGCACAAAACTGCGAATCAAGCTTAAAAAAGAGGATTTCATGTTTGTCTAATGTAAATTAGATTTAATAATTGTGGCATTATTTTATCAAATTTGGTTGTCAACATTCTCTGGTCTGTTCAATGGCAATTGATATAGTTCACTGAATGGAAAATTCCAGATTCTACATTTCTACTATATTTCTCTTTTGGGAAACATGCCTTCTTGAATTCGCATTCTTACTAACAAGGATTTTGGCATCACCCGTAATTGTATCTCCAGGTCTACAGTATGCTTCAGGGAAAAAGAGATGCAGAGACTGTATTAACTATGGGGATCATGGATGATGTTAGTATTATTCCTCAACCAACAGGTAATGTAGACGTACTGAAAATGGGCTTTAAGTTAAGGCAAATAAGTGTAAGAAAGAAATATTGTCAGTTCTAACTAGTAACTACACTTGCCAAGTTATGTGATTTCTTACGGGCCCCTATATAAGTATATATTTTTTATTAGCATTTTCTTTCCTGCCAAAAGTGACTTTGTAAAATTGTTATAACAGAAGTGGAGAATGTTTCATACTAACTTGGAGATAAACTAGGAAATTAAATTTTATGAAAATATAAGAAGGCCAAAAGGAAAGAAAAGAAAAAAGAAACAAGGATTTTATTCACTACTTCAAAATATAAGTATTTTTTCCCCCCAATACAGTTTATAATGCTAAACAGGACTTAAATAAGTTGCAGTGTTCTACAAGTGACCCAAATCATTTTTTGATAATTCTGTTTGTGTATTTTCAGCCTGTAAGGTGTTGTAGTATGTGAGGATAAAGGGAAATACATATAGTCTTGCAGAACTGATGTACTCTTTTTTGTTTCTGTTTTTTTGTCTTCCCCCATCATATCCATGGTACTCTCCAAAGTCTAATCTTATGGATATTGTTTCTTTGCCACGTCATAGATACGGGGAAGGTTGATATGGTGATGAATGTGGTGGAACGTCCCAGTGGAGGATTTTCTGCTGGTGGTGGGATATCAAGTGGGTAAGTGATGCTATTCTAAAGCATACTTAAATGAAGCTTCTATTTACTAATTAGGTTAATTGTGCAGACCTCCTTGAGGTTTGATTAAATTCCCTAGCCTCTCCAGTAATTTTGGAAATTATGGTAAACTCCCCTACTTTGAATTTTCAAAAGACAAAATACCCTTTCATATTTTTATTTTTTATGCATATACCCCCTTCCATACAGCTTTTTGTACGTCTCCATATTGGTGATAAATGCAAATAGAAGGGGATAATTGTTATTTTTAAAACTAGAGGGGAGATCAACATAACTTTCCCTGTTGGTTGGTGCATAATCTGACTAGGTATTTACATTCGCAGGATTGCAAGTGGTCCACTGAGAGGGCTCATTGGAAGGTGAGCTTATTTTTTAGTCTTGTGATGGGTGGAGTAATGAGTCAATGCTTCATCTTTTGGCATCCTATACCCTCCTTCCTTGAATAGCCAAGGTTATTGCCATGCAATTAAATTCATTTTCAGAGCTATTAATATCTGCTGCTAGCTCCATATACTGCTGTGCAGTGTTAATGACATTGGTAAATGTGTAAATATGCCACTTGTAGCTGTAAGCTCACTACCCTCGTGTACATAATTTTGCAGAAGATAGAACTTGGCCAATATTAACTTCTCCTGGTCGTTTATCTCAGTTTGCTATGTATATTTCCCCCCATGTCAACAGAATAAAGTTGTTTTCATTAATATATGCTTTCATATTGTGTTACTTATGGTCAAACTGCAACTGGATTACTCATCGCTGATCCACTCAATTATATTTTGATTCCACCGCAGCTTTGCCTATTCTCATAGGAATGTTTTTGGGAGAAACCAGAAATTCAATATTTCCTTAGAGAGAGGTCAGATTGACTCAATATTTCGTATAAACTACACAGACCCTTGGATTCAAGGAGATGATAAACGAACATCTAGAACAATAATGATTCAGGTAATCTCTGAAGGTTTACTTGTCCGAGCCCAATGACTGTTCTTTTGATAATAGAAAGTTAAAGATTCTGGTGTGCTGATATTTAATTAACTTCTTTTTAGAATTCAAGAACGCCCGGAACAATTGTTCATGGTAACCAAGATGGTAGCAGTAACCTGACCATTGGCCGCATCACAGGTGGTATAGAGTTTAGTCGACCCCTTAGGCCAAAGTGGAGCGGAACAGCAGGACTTGTTTTCCAGGTTCTTCATTGACAACTTTAGTGGCTGTTTAAGTGTGTTGTAATATCTTTTTTATTTCTAATTTTAGTCCTTCCGATCTAGCTCTACCAATACCACTTGCAAATTGCTGATTTGCATAGTTTAGTTAAACTGTGTCATCACTAATCAGATTATTCCTGCGATAAGTTAAATGTAATATAATATAGTTTCTATATCTATTTATTTTAGTGATTTTTTTCCTTTTCAAATGATCACTACAGCATGCCGGAGTCCGTAATGAGAAAGGGGATCCTATCATCAAGGATTGTTACAGCAGTCCTCTTACTGCAAGGTTGTAATCTTAGTAAATGCTACATGCTGCTTATTTTGGACAATATGGTTGTGATGACTTTGTGTGGTGGTTTCTAACTTATGTCAATTTTTTCTTGTAGTGGCAATAACCATGATGATACATTGCTTGCTAAATTTGAGACTGTTTACACTGGTCCTGGCGATCATGGGTCTTCTATGGTTCGTTATGAATTGAATACGGTCTTTGAGTTTATATTTAATTCTATGGTTCTTATGATTACTTGCTTGGTTTTGCAGTTTGTCCTTAACATGGAACAGGGACTTCCTCTTTTGTCTGAATGGTTATACTTCACTAGGGTGAATGCACGTGCTAGGAAGGGTGTTGAGATAGGTCCTGCTCGCCTTCATTTAAGGTATGATATACACGTCATCAATTCCCCTTCTCATGGAAAGAAAAAGGAATGCATTGTTTTGCACTTAACATTTAAGCAAAACAGACAACCTTATGTTTTACCAACTTTGTTTGGTTCACTGCTAGTCTCTCTGGTGGTCATGTGGTGGGAAATTTCTCTCCCTATGAAGCTTTTGCCATTGGTGGAACAAACAGTGTGAGAGGCTATGAAGAAGGTGGTGTGGGCTCTGGTCGATCATATGCTGTTGGCTCCGGAGAAATTTCTTTCCCCATGGTACTTGAATTTATCAAGCTTTTTCCTGCTCAATCCAGCTAAACTTCTTGGGCGTTCTTACGGTGCATTGCACTTAACCTTATTTTCATAACCTGGACCTGGTTCAAACCTGGCTGTATCTAAAATTTGCTGAATTATCTGATCTCTTAGACCTGGAGAATGATGTTTTTGGAATATAGAGTCGAAGATGGCTTAAAAAGTATTGGAAATAGCTGTTATGAATTTGAAAGTTATTTTTGTAAAAAAAACAGAGAAGGAAGATACTTTTTACTCTGAAGAATGGGTAGATAGCAAAACAGAAGAATGTGTAGAGTATGAAATTGAGAAAATTTCGATAGAAACTCTTTCATAGGTTTTTGCCAAGTTGAATATGACTTTTGTCATTGAAGATGGGAAATTGTAGCAATTAGGAAAAAATTTCTCTCCCTTTTTCTGGCCTGACCTGCCTTCCTCCAATGATTTCCCCAAAAGTAATTGTAGTGTTCTTAACCAGACGCATACCTGATAAAAGAGAAATTGACATTGTTCAACCGAGAGTGAACAATAGGCCTCCTTCCACAGAGAAAATTCCCTATGATCAACAAAAGATTACAAGGAGCAACTGCTCAACACTCTAACCCTAATCAGCTCATCTCAATAATGTGATGACCAAACTACTAAATTAACTATATATATATATATATGGGAGTATTATTTCTGCAGTTGTGGCAGAAATAATACTTCTGCCTTCTGCCACAGACACAATAAAACATTATCTCTCATTCCAGCAAAGCATTCTATCTCATATCTCATTGTGTCTGTGGTGGGGAGTATTATTTCTGCCACAATTGCAGAAATAATACTCCCTATATATATGTGTGTGTGTTTATCTGTCTGTAATCCCCCCTGCCAAAAATAAAATCCTTATCAGGTCCCGGGTTTTTCAGGTCAGGTCAGGTCAGGTCAATCCCAAAACTAAATACACAGCCCTTTATAACAGTAGTGGTGGTTGATTTTTTTATCAAATGATATTAAGATACTAGGTTTCTACTTTCTAAGAAGCAGAATATGCTTGTAGTCATGTAAATGAATCTAAATGGAGGATAAAAAAATTTGCTGCATTTGTCCCTGTGCCCACAGGTGCATGCATTTGATTAAATTTAAGTTAGAGAGAAATTGACTCACTAATCTTACTGTGTGTTTGTAGTTGGGGCCAGTGGAAGGTGTTATATTTTCTGACTATGGAACTGATCTTGGATCCGGCCAAACTGTCCCTGGTAGGTCTTTTATTTGGTTTGTTCGATTCCTTCTCTCTCTCTTTCAGAATTTGGTTTCTTCTTTTCGTATTCCATGAGGATGATTAAGATTCTGGAGATCACCCAATGCGTATGAATGCCATCAGTTACTGATCTTAATAAAATGAGTGAACTTGTCCTATGTTATGTAAGTTTGGTAGCTGTTAAAACTTTCAAGGAGGACAACCTACTTTCACGCACTACTGATCTTAATAAAATGAGTGAACTTGTCCTATGTTATGTAAGTTTGGTAGCTGTTAAAACTTTCAAGGAGGACAACCTACTTTCACGCACTACTGCCATAGACTAGTAGAGTCATTTACCAAACAGAACCAGCTTTTCTTGGCTTATCCTTGTGCTTTGGCTCCATTAAGTGACAAATGCACAATGCCAATTTTTAAACAGTTTTCATTTGTCAACTGTTCCATCTCAACTGGTAGCGCTTCTCTAGATGTTTGCAAATATTGTTCATGCTGTCCTTAATGTGGCACTTGAATGTTGTTTTGGCTTTTTATTAGGTGACCCTGCTGGAGCAAGAAGGAAGCCTGGAAGCGGACACGGGTATGGGTTTGGCATCCGTGTGGATTCGCCTTTGGGTCCTTTACGTCTTGAATATGCCTTTAATGACAAGAAAGAGAAGAGGTTTCATTTTGGGGTTGGCCATAGAAACTAAACGTCCTTTCGGGGGACAATTCTCATTAGGTGCTTTTCGAATGTTTCATATATTCCAATTTTTTTTGTAGCTTGCATGGGTTTTTCCTTTTTCGGGAAACTTATGTATCATTTTCCTCAAAAAAATTTACTCAGCTGCCTTTTTAAGGGGGTGTTTGGTAGATGTTTTTTTTTTTTTTTTGAATACCTAGAAAAGTGAGGCTGGGTTTTTAAGAATACCATGTTTGGTATTACTTTTCAAAAAAATTATCCAGTACGGTGATTTAGCTGGTAATCCATTTTATGTGTAAATGAAGGATGAAAATTACTGTTAAGAATATCACCCAGAGGGTGGTGGTATTGTTGGATTGCTAAGAAATTAGAAAAAGGTGCAAGAAATTTTTGACAAAAATAGCCCCTTTTTTTAAGAAAGTGATTTAGCCTTCTTTGACAAAAAGAAAATACAAAAGTGGGGATATATTTATAATATCACATCAAATTTTCAGTAATATTTTATAATTAATCAAATATACTTAGTAAATTTTATTCAATATTTTTAGTAAATTTTTGGTCTACCAAATAATTTTTGATCATATTTTTGAAAATATTATTTTCTCATCACATTATTGGTAATCGTGATTTTTGAATAAAAAAAAAATTCTTTTACCAAAAGTTCCCTGATTGTTTTCATAAAATTGCTCCACATATTTTGAGAGGGCCTCACCAATGTGGTCATGTTTATGGTTTTTGCTTATCCCTCTCTACGTAGAGTCTTATTTGACACTTTTTCCTTTTTAAACAAAAAGATACTTTTAAGTCAAAGGTAAAAAAAAGTTTTAAAAATAAAACTAAAATTGTTTGATGATTATATAAAAATTTTAGTTTAAAAGTTATTTAAAAACTATTCATTAGAAAAAAAGTTGATATAGCTTAAAAAAAGTTGTTTCTAGGATCTTTTGGCTTTTATTTTATTTTTTTCATTATAAAAAGTTTTTTTTATTATTATAAGATCTTATATAAAAATCTGTTTAGCTTATTTTTTTTAGAAGGAAGCCCAACAAAAGATGTAACATTCCGTGCTGACGAGGGCGGGGACTGATCGTCGGTGCAAAAAGGCACGGATAAGGAGCAGCTCCTGACAAGCTTTCAGCGGGGGTTATATGCATGAATTAATCGAATCGACACCTGAAAGAGAGGGATTCCAAAGGCTGTGCAGGTATAAGGCTGCACAGTTTGGGATAGCTTATAAGAATTAATTGGTACTATCTATGCTAACAAGATACATCTGCTTTTCGGTAGCCCGGATCGGAAGAACTCCACAGTTAAGCGTGCTTGACTTGGAGCAATTCTGGGATGGGTGATCTCCCGCTCAAAATTCTCGCATAAGATGAGCTATTTCTGTGTTGCGGTAAGATGATTTATTCTTACATGGCATTTTGTTCTCATCCCAATCAGAACATGTGAAAGGCCAATGTAGAGAAACAAGAGTAATGGGTCGTGGCCTAATTGAAAGGGATTTCATATAGTCTCAGTTTATATTATTTTATGGACTTAGTTGATGATTCCTATGTGTCAATGTGAGTTATGCTATCTTTTACCGACACCAATAAAGGATATAGAATATGATATGATATGACATGATATTCTATTACGTTAAAAAATGTTAGATTTTGACAGATTAGAACACATTTTGATATTAAATAATATTTTTAGTTTATATAATATATAGTATATTTAATATTCAATAATTTAACAAAAAAATAAACTAAACTTACAATATTCATCAATTTTTTAAAAAGAAACATAATATGTAAATATTTACTATTATATTTTCAAATTGAAAATCTTCTATACATTTTAGTGAGATTTATTCGGTATTAATTTTTAATTTTATTACACTAGTTTGGTAAAACATCGATCAAATTTTCATGATATGTAATGAAATTTTAAATATTATATATGTCGGAGCTTGGGGAGTGTCAGAGAGTGTCAACACAACACTTTGGATTTTTTAAAATATTGGTACAACATAGAAAGTAAGGTAGCCAAACAATGAAGGAATCTAGAACACAAAATTTAGGTAGATTAGTTTTACGTATAAAAAATTTCTAATTTCTAATTTCTAATTTCTTTTTAAGAAACCTAATGCTATTTGATTATACCCAAAAAAAAAAAATGTACAGATTTATTGAATTACGCCACATGTATATTTGTATATGACAGTAATCTCATATAAACTTAATAGTAGGCCGTTTGGATTCTCTTTCTTTTAATGTAAAAGTTCTAAAACTAAAAAAAAAGAATTTAAATAAAAGTTAAAAATTATTTAGTGATTACATAAAATTTTGAGCTTAATAATTATTTAAAAGCTCAAAAATCTTATTTCAAGAAGAGCTAATAAGAGTTCAAAAAAAAAATTTCTCCTATAAGCTTTTGGCTTTTTTCTTCATTAAAACTCTTTCTAGTATAAGAGCTTTTGTAAAAATTTGTTTGGCCTAGCTTCTGGTTATAAGGAGAAGAGAAGTTAAAAAAGATAGGATCCAAACAGGTACTTAAAATTTAGTTAATTTTCATTTTTTCAAATAAAAAAGAAGTATTCTTAAGACACTTGTTAAGAAGATAAAAGTAAAGGGCAGCGTATTTATTATTTTAGTTGTTTATGACTGTATATTAGAGTTATTAGATATAAATAAGATCAAGGATCATTATTTAAAGAATAACTTATACTGATATAAAATAATTTTAATCTAAAAATATAATTTTTAAAAGAAAAGTAAAAGTATTTACTGCATAAAGAACATTAAAAAAAAATTATTTTTTAATATAAAATTTATATTTTTTTATTAAATGCTTTTTAGCCAAATTCTTTATGTATGTGTGTATGTGAATTTAGGGTTGACAGATATGAGATAGGATCAGAGGTTGGGAAATGAAGAGCATATGGATTGCTGCCAATTACCGACCAAGAAAAGACAATGTGAGTGACCTGGGAAATGTGGTATCAAAAATCAATAATATTGCTTAAAACCCAACCCGACAACAGCAAGTTACTGGCAGTAAATGCCAACAGTTCGGGTTTTACACTTGGCTGTAGTGTAATTAAACCCAAATTTCGACTTGGCCGAAAATCGGTAAATCGATGATTTAATTTATTCGAGTTAGTTAATGGATGAATCATGCAATAGACTCGATAAGATAAGAATCGGTTTGACTCATCCAGTTTTTGACAAAACTGATAACCCAATCGGTTTTTGTTAACTTGATTGGGTCATGAATTTTTTTTTAAAATATTTTTTTAAGGAAAATGATGTTATTTTTTAAGCAACAACCAAATATAAAATCCCTAAGGTGCAGTACACCATTTTTAATTCACATAAACACAAATCAATCATATAAAAAATAAAACACAATTAAAATTTTTTAACTTAAGAATAATGAAATTGAAATGCAAAGTGAAAATGCTTAGTTGGATTAAAATTCGAAATCATAAGAAATAAGGGAAAGAGCTAATTTGAAATTTGAAAAAGTGATATTCATTTATTATTTTTAATAATGACACGATGGATAATTCTTTTTTTTTTTTAATTAGGAAGGTTCTAAGCCCGAAAAAACAAAATTACAAAGATGCAAGAGTTCTATTGTTATGAAAAATAAGTAAATGTCCATCCAATAAATTGATCATTTGAGGAAGAGGCTAGTTGAAAATGATAATATCCTCTTCTATGCCAAGACATTGTTTCGCAAATTAGTTCGCATGTTTGTTGTCAGACATAATTTTGGAAAATTCTGGATAAACATAATTATGGATTTTGCAAGACAACATATAAGTTATTTTGAAGGAATTTTGAGTATAGAATATAAACTTATATACATTTATCGAGTCATGCGGTTCAACAATGAACCAGTAATCCAATGACCCAATACCCCAGTTGAGGCTAGTTGAAGATGATAATATCCTCTTCTATGCCAAGGCATTGTTTCACAAATTAGTTCGCATGTTTGTTGTCAGACATAATTTTGGATAATTCTGAATAAACATAATTATGGATTTTGCAAGACAACATATAAGTTTTTTTTTTTTTGGTAAAAAGACAACATATAAGTTATTTTGAAGGAATTTTGAGTATAGAATATAAATTTATATACATTTATCGAGTCATGCAGTTCAACCAATGAACCAGTAATCCAATGACCCAATACCCCAGTTGAGTCGATGAACCGGTTCAATTTTAATAACATTGTTTGGCGGTATAGCTATAAAGGTATCATAGTCAACATGAGATGTGAAAGTGAAGTTTTTGTTATTTATTAATTTTATAATAAACATTTAATAATTTATTAGGTATAATTAACAAGGACAGCCTATTTGGCATTTTTTTTTTTTTTTTGGTAATCATGTTTGGCATATCTTTTTTTAAGTTAAAAGTTACTTTTTAAGCTAAAGCAAAAAAAAGAGCTTTAAAAATGTTACGAGTCCCACATTGGTTGCGTATACAACTAATGTGGGGTTTATAAGGCCGTGGGCACTCCCATCCTTTGGGCTAGCTTTTGGGGTGGTGATTGTTGCTTTGCTAACAGTTATGCAAATAGCGCGCAAGTATACGCGACAACAAGTAATACAGGGCGTATATGAGACCCTTATATCGTTCCCACAAGGATCTTTAGCGTATGTACTTGGACAAAATTTGGTAATTGCTAAAACTGAAACGATGGGCAGAAAATGGAAATCAAATAAATACAATACTACTACTAAACCGCAAATTCTTTTCTTTTTGAATTTTTCTGTTTTTAGAAAAAATGATTGGATAGCTGAGTGAAAAATTAAAGGGAAAACAAGTTGGGATATTTTTTATGCAAAAAGAAAAGTAAAAGTCAGAAGATTGTTTTTCTTTTTCCTTTTTTTAAAGAAGAAATTGGTAACCAGAATTATATTTGAAATATGTGAAATCAAAGGAAAATAAATCTGAAGTGTTGACAATAAGTTGTGAAACAGGTTGAGTTTATGGTTCCCCTCCCCAGCAGCCTCCAAATAAGTGCTAAAAACAAATCCCTCAAAATTAGTTCCCAAGTGTTGGACCCTTTTCTTATTGATTTTAATCTCTTAAAAACATTTTTATCTTTAACAAACATCTGCACATCTCTGTGCTAAACGGAAGAAAAAATCCTTACAATCCAATCCAACACAACATGGAGGTTGTTCTCGTCTCTGAGTAACATCCCTTGAGTGTTCTCATACTCAAGTCCATACATTCAACACAGTTCTGGACTTAATCATTTCTCAATGACTAATTCACAAACTCATCCTACTATCAGGCCTCAACAATAGCATAAATAAATTAAAGCACAGTGTTGAAAAGAACAGGGAATCAACTTCAAGAAAAATAACATTCAGCACATATTCACGACTGTGGGTTGGGTCCCTACACCCAACCTATAGAAAGTTTAGCTCCTATCCATGAGAATAGAGCGTACAAAACAGTAAAAGAAAATGCAAATAATGCAGAATATAAAATGCTTAAATAAAACTACAGCACTGGTCCTAACAACCAGAATTCACAGTGCTGTAGAGATGGCATGCATAAGGCTCATCAAAATGAGTCTCATTACAGAACAAAAAGAAAATTCGAAAAGATATTCAAAAGACCAGAAAAATAAAATTCCAAAGCTGAATCAAAAAAGCCCCCAGTCACTTACTCTTTGCTCTCCTTTTTATAGCTCTATTTTCCTTCTTTGCACAACATTCCTCTTTTGCTCCAGCTCAGCAGTATGACACGTTGCTTGTGCGCTGCAAATGGGTGGTCTCCACCAAGCTCCACTCCTCTGCTCAGACAATCCGAATGGAAATGTTGCTCCTTCAACCCGTACACTGGCGTGTGCTCACAATCGCTCCAGCCTCCACTAAGTAACGGATTTTTGTTTGGCTTTTCTGAACCAAAAGTAGTGGCTAAGGTTTTTCTTGTTGTCTTTCCTTAATGGACTGTGGATGTGGGTTATTTTGGACGGATGAGCGGTAAGAAGAGGACGGTCTGACCTTATGGGTTGATTTGTGGAAAGGGTTAGGGATGGCTAGAGACAAGGCTTTGCAGAGAAGGGCGCGCTTGCTACGGGTGCTAGGGTTTCTCCTTTTTTCCTCTTTCTTTTGGCTTCTGTATTTCTTGACTCTGTTTCTCTTTTCCTTTCTTTTGTTTCTTTTCTTTCCTTGCAATCGTTGGGCTTTAGCTTTAGGTCTGGCCCAGTCCTTTCCTTTTTCCTTCAGTAACAATTGGGCCTAAAAATATAACATGTACAGCCCATTAGCATTTGTAACCAACAAAAGATAATTCACATACCTTTTGGGGTATTATAATCACAAAATCAATTCATTTTTCTTCATATGCAATATAAATCACATGCTCTAAGTCTCCATTAGGTGACTTATCAGTGATCTCAAGGTTCGTAACAATTGGTGCTTTCATTAAGAGTTGGTGCCACGGAAAGGGCTACCTATAGGCTGGATTAAGGTGCCTTTGGGCACTAAATACTGATAGGTGAGTGAAGTCGCCCCAAAAGGGGGAAATGGCTATCGTCAGGTCAGTGTCGATAGAGTGAAAGCCGCCGTGGACGTCGACCCTTAAAGGGGGTGGCAATGTTACGAGTCCCACATTGATTGCCTATACAACTAATGTGGGGTTTATAAGGCCTTGGGCACTCCCACCCTTTGAGCTAATTTTTGGGGTGGTGACCTCAAGGTTCGTAACAAATAGAGGCAGGATATACTTACCACCAAAAAAGCTTACCACCTTTACAACCAACCTAATCACCGTTGATTTTCGTCAATCTAACGGTTATAATTTATTGAGAATAATAATTAATTAATAAATGCGATCCAATAATCTCCAATAACTTATAACTGTTGGATTGATATAAATCAATGGTGATTAGATTGGTTGTAAAGATTGTAAACTTTTTTGGTGATAAGTATATCCTTCCCCTTAAAATATAGCTAAAAACTTTTTGACGAATATATAAAATTTTAATTTAAAAGTTACTTGAAAACTGTCCATTTAAAAAAAAGGCTGTTCATTTCAAAAAAAAAATAATACAACTTAAAAAAAGCTTCTCTTAGGAGCTTTTAGCTTTTGACTTTTTTCTTCATTATAAAACAAACTCCTTTTATTATAAGAACTTTTGTAAAAATTTATTTGGCCTAACTTATGCTTATAAGGAAAAGATAAGCTAAAATAAAACTTTGCACTTGGTCATTTACTAATAAAGATAATCAAGGTGATGACAGCACTATATATGATGATGAAATTCTTGCATCACCTTATAGTATATATATGGTTGGATTTAAAGTTATAAAGAAATTATATTTATTTACAAAAATACAAATAATGAACTTTCATAATTATAAGATTACCGCCGTAAAATAATTTAAAATTATAAAAAATTGGATTTATTTATAAAAGTTCCATTAACAGATTTTCATAATCATAAAATTGGGGAAAGTTATAGTTACTACATCTTTTTCTTACTATCTCTTACTACTAAATCTTAATCGTTGATTTTCGTCAATCTAACAGTTGTAATTTATTGGGTCATATTATTAATTAATTATTAATTTTTAATAAATTATAACCGTTAGATTGGCAGAAATCAACGGTTAAGATTTGGTAGTGAGAGATAATAAAAAAGAGAGGTAGTAAGTATAACCTTTCCCCGTAAAATTACCACCACAAAAAAATAAAACCAAAAATTAAAATTTGAAAACATCTCTAACTTGTTCTCCTTTTCTTAGTTTTAAAAACAAAAAAACAGATATTGTTTTTGAAAATTATTTTACAAAACAATCCTCTTCAAACAATTTTATTTTTATTTTTTTTCTAAAAATTAACTAAAATACTATTTTTAGAAACAGAAATCAATCATGCCCTGAATTTGAATTTAATTTTTTTAAAAAAACTTACAAATATTTTTAATGATAAAATTGCAAATAACAATCAATATATTATAAAAAAACTAAACTCTCATAAATGTGTTTTTGAATTATATGATGGACGGAAATAGATCTTCTCATGTAAAAAAAACATGATATGATCATTTGGAATGATCACAACAATACAAAGGTGAATCAACGATTATGATTTTGTAACTATCTATTTAATTTTTTTTTCTCTCTTTCTTTATTATAATTGATCCATGTTTGTATGGTTATGATTTCCTATATGATCATATCATTTTTTTTTTCATGTGAGAGGATCCAGATCCATGATGTGCACAATTAATTTAAGCTTAATTTAATTCATCAATTAAAATAAGTACAATTAATTTATGACGTATCAATTATTAGTAACCCTAACAATATTAATTAGAGCACTAAGCTAACAAGCACCAGCCGAAACTAGGGGTGTTTAAAATGTCCAAAAGAACCAAACCAATCTATAACCAAACCGATCCACATTTTAAAAACCGATTTCATATGAAACTACATTTTATTTTACAAACTGGTTATTTACCAAACCATAAAAATAATTGGTTATCTGTGGTTATCCATAACCAAACTTCTCTACAATTAAAGAACAAATAAGTATTATCTTTTATCATGCCTTATTATATTAGTCAATTGACTCAAACATCCAAACAATAAACTAGCAGAAAAAGTTAAGCATCTCAAGTAGAAAACATTTATTTAAAAAAAAAAATACACATAAATCAAGAAGTCGCATCCTAAAAAAGAACTTATGTAACGTAATAATTTTTTTTCCCCAAAAAAAAAAAACTTGTGCCTAATGGTACCAAAAATATCACTAATATACTTAGTTAATTATAGTGTAAATTATTGAATCGGGTATAAGAATATCATTGTAAGCTTGTGTGCATTAAGTATTGGAATATTATTGTAAGCATCTCTATAGCTCAATGCTGCACTTAGAGCTTCCCTACCCCAAATTGGGTAATCCCTTAACCTTTGTTATGGACCCGTATAAGGGGCCCATTAAGTGACAGGCCCAATAAGGGGCTATCTAAGATGTAAATCTAATGTAATCACGGATAGATATCCATCAAGGATACTAATCCTAATACGACAGCATAGCAAGCAGGCCTAGGCCCTTATCAGAGGCACCAAAGGCCCATCCACACTACCCACAGGTAACCTCTATAAATACAAGGTAAACCCTAAACGTACGTTACGCTCTCTCTCTTACTGTTATGCTGTCACTGTGCGCGCGCACACACCCTATTGGCTAACGCCGTTAATAGTATTCTGTGCACAGTGATATGCTTGACTCAAGGGTATCTCCTCCATAGATACCTTGGAGAGGGCACTAGATCCAAGAGTAACATACCAGCCTATTGGGCTGGACATCTCTGTCCTAAGGACAGAACATTGGCGCCGTCTGTGGGGAATTTCTCAACTCGGAGTTTGATATTCCCACGAATCTGACTAAGGATGGTAGTCCACACAAGGAGTAGCAACCACCCCAAAACCAGAATCAACCGCTGGATCCAGTTCTGGAAGAGGTGAATCAGCCTCAAAACCAGCCTAAAAACGATGTGGATTACGATCACGTCCGTATCAGCGAGGACGTATCAGATACAGCCTCCACTCCAGCACCCCGCAACCGAGTTGTTGCCCCAATTCTGAACAACCCCCACCAACATCCTGGGGAGTTGGCTACCCACGTTGCCCAGTCCGCCGATCCTGACTCTCGACTGGTTCAAAGTGCATTTGCTGTAATTTTGCAGCGAATGACAGAGATGGAGAATTGTAATAACCTCCAGCGGCAACAAGACTTCCAAAGGATACTGGAGGAGAATACCAGGAGAATGCGAGATCTGGAACAACGCTTAATGGGGTTGACTGAACCAGGGGCGAGAGAAACCGAAGGCCAGGATACCAATGGCCGGGAAGGAAGTCGCAACTCGGATCATCAAAACCGGGCTATTGAGGTGGAAAACCGGGAAAGGCCTAATCCAGTGAGCATGATGAATCCGAACCTGGAGAACCTGGCAATGGGTGACCAGAATGCTGCTGTGTAGGCCCAGACTCAAAACGCTTCAATAGAAGCAAATGGGCAAAGACACCGGGATGGAATCCACCCCAACCAGAATGCACAGATCATTAGACGTGAAACCTGGTGCCTACAGAAGAAAATATAGCAGGGGCCAGTATAATAACAGCCCCTTCACTGGGGAGATTTTGAATGCTCCCTTCCCAGAAGATTTTGATTCAGCGCGATTGCCGAAATATGATGGAAGTCAAGACCCACAGGTCCACATCGATGCTTTTGATACGGACATGTACATCCGAGGGATAGATGAGCCCCTCATATCTCGGATATTTGCCATAACTCTGACTGGGGCTGCGCAGGCATGGTTCTCTACCTTACCTGCCAACTCCATTGGGTCCTTTGAGGAATTTGGGGAGAAGTTCCTCTTAAACTTTGCGACAAGCAAGAAACATCCCAAATCCGAGTTCGCACTTGGAAAGATACGTCAACAACCCGAAGAAACTCTCCAAAAATACCTCAACCGATTCAAAGATGTTGTGTTGCAGGTGCCGGGTTTACAAGAGAATGTACACGTACATCTCATTGTGGCTGGCTTGGATGGAGCATCCAGGCTAGCCAAGTCGATTTACAAAGACCCAGTGAGGATGTTGGAGGAATTCAGAACCCGTTCAAAGAAGTACCTCGAACTCGAGCAAATAGATATTGCAAATGCGCAATTTGAAGAAGGTAAAAGAATTAGCCTGAGAAGGAGGAGCCCGGTCCCGAAAGAAAAAGAGCGAACTGGTAATAAAAAGAAAGGCTCTAGAACTATAAATCCAGATGGACGAGACCAGATTGGAAGATACGAGAAATACACACCATTGAATGCCTCATGCTCTCAAATCTGGAGGGAAGTGGCAATGACGGAGATGAAGAAAGTAGAAAGACCCCGACCCATATTCGACAGAGGAGGTTTGGATAAGTCCAAGTACTGTGCTTTCCATGATGGACCGGGTCACACCACTGATCAATGCTGGGATCTCCGAGATGCTGTGGAAAAATTTGTTAGAGATGGAAGATTACGCCAGTACGTGATCAAAACCCAGGGTTCCAAAAATAACAAAAGAAAGTCTGGAAACTGAAAGAGAAGCAAAAGCCCAGTTCTTGAAAAGAAAAAAAAGGATAAAAGGAACCAAAAAAATGATTCCAACCATGATGAATTCCCAGAAGTGGAATTTGACTGTAACGTAATTAGTGGAGCCCTTGGAGGAGGAGGAGACACTGTAAGTGCCAGACGAAAGTATCTAAAAGAGGTCTTTTCTATCCGGGATCGTCCCAAATTCAAGGAGGACCTTAGCAAACCAGACCCTCCTCTGCTGTATTTCACAAAGAAATACATGCATGGTGTTTTGCCGGGACATGTAGACGGATTAGTCATCGCTGGAACCTTGGTGAACTGCCGAGTTAAGAAGATTTTCATCGACGCTGGGAGTAGTGCCGACATTATACTATGGGATGCTTTCAAAAAGATGAACCTTGATGAGGAGGACCTCAAACCTTGCAAAACAACCTTGATAGCTTTTAATGGAGAGCATACACCTCCTAAAGGCTATATAGATCTCAGGTTGACCCTGGAGACAAAGAAAGCGTTCAAATCAGAACGAGTCAGATTCATAGTGGCCGATTTCCCATCAGAATATAATATAATTCTGGGGAGACCAACCATACACCAATGGCACATGCTGGTCTCTACAAAGCACCAGAAGATAAAGATGATAAGTAGCAAGAATGAAATAATCACTGTTTGTGGAGATCAAAAAGAATCCAGAGGATGCTACTTTGACACTGTCAAGGAGAACGAAGGCAGACATTCGATTCCTCCCCGAATCCATCCGGGGGACGAACTCGGCAGGAAGACGATTCCTCACCATTCAAGGAAGCCTGTTAATGTGGTGGAACTGGACATGAGAGAAAAAGTAATCCCGAGGCCTGAGCCCGATGGAGAATTAGAAAACCTCGTACTCAGGGAAGAACCTGGTCAATTTACCCAAATTGGTAAGACCATAGATCCTCAAGTCAAAAAAGAATTAGCAGGGTTCCTCAAGAGCAAGACGGATGTATTTGCCTGGAAATCATCAGAAATCTCAGGCATAGATCCCGCCTTCTGCTGCCATAAGTTGGCAGTTTACCCCGGATCCACACTGGTCTCTCAAAAGAAAAGGAAGTTGGGACCAGAAAGGAAACAAGTCCTGGAAGAGCACGTGAAGGAGTTGCTGGATGCCGGGTTCATTCGAGAAATACAGTACACAACATGGCTTGCGAATATTGTGATGGTGAGAAAACCAAATGGGAAATGGAGAGTTTGCACTGATTATACGGACTTGAATAAGGTCTGCCCAAAAGACTCCTACCCTATGCCTAACATAGACCAGCTGGTAGACAATTCGGCTGGATTTCGATTATTGTCTTTCATGGATGCCTACTCTGGTTACAACCAGATTCCAATGTACCCAGGGGATCAAGAAAAAACTGCCTTTATTGCTGAAAAGGCTAATTACTGCTACAATGTGATGCCATTTAGACTTAAAAACTCAGGGACAACTTATCAAAGGATGATGAATAAGGTGTTTGAAGACCAGCCGGGAAAAAACTTAGAAGTATATATTGATGATATGATATTGAAGTCATTTGATATGACAAATCATGTCCAGGATCTTAAGCAGACTTTTCAGAAGCTCAGAAAGTATCGCATCCGTCTAAACCTGGTAAAATGTGCGTTAGGAGTCCCAGCTGGGAAGTTCTTGGGTTTCATGTTAACCCATAGAGGGATTGAAGTAAACCCTGACAAGTGTAAAGCAGTACTTGATATGAAGGTACCCCAGAATGAAAAGGAGGTTCAACAGTTAACTAATAGACTGGCTGCATTAACCCGGTTCTTACCAAAGTCTGCTGAGAATGCCCTCCCATTCTTTAAATTATTAAAGAAGAAAGCAATGGAAGGCTGGAATCCGGATTGTCAAGCTGCGTTCGAAAAGGTCAAGAAATGCTTGGCAACCCCACCAGTGCTGGCAAAGCTAGAACCAGGAGATACTCTGATCCTGTATCTGGCTGTGGGGGAGGAGGCAATAAGTGTTGTCCTGATAAAGGCCAAGAGCCGATTTATTTCATCAGTAGAGTCTTACAAGGTGCTGAGGTCAGATATCAAAAGCTAGAAAAAGTGGTCTTCGCTTTGCTGAGGGACATCTGATAATAGTCTGGACTAATCAGCCTATATGGCAGGTGTTTCACAAGCCGGACCTGGCAGGAAGAATGACTAACTGGGCAATTGAGCTCAGTAAGTATGACATAACATATGAAAGTCGAAAGGCCATCAAATCGCAAGCTTTGGCCGACTTCATAATGGAACTGACATTGGTGAACCAGGAACATAAGCAATCTGGGGACACCTGGAAGGTCTATGTAGATGGATCCTCCAACGACAAAGGAAGCGGAGCTGGAATCATACTCGAAAGTCCAGAAGGAGTGACAATAGAACACTCCTTGAACTTGGGCTTCCCAACTTCAAACTATCAAGCAGAGTATGAAGCTTTGATAGCCGGACTAGTGCAGGCTAAAGAACACGAAGCCAAGAAGGTAAAAATCTTCAGCGACCCACAACTGGATACTTCGCAGATAGAAGGAAAGTATCAGGCTAAAGGCCCTCTATTGGTGAAATACCTGAACAAGGTTCAAGAGATAATGGCCGACTTCGATGAAGTGCAAGTTACTCACATTCCTCGAGGGGAAAACTGCCGAGCTGATATCTTGTCTAAATTGGTAAGTAACAAAAATCCAGGTAACCATAGAATCGTGGTACAACAAAGCATAACTATGCCGAGTTGCATTATGATCATCACCTCGGCAAATGACTGGAGGCAACCCATAGTGGCATACCTTGAGAAAGGAACATTGCCAGAGGATCGACTGGAATCCAAGAAGCTGGTCCGAGATGCGGCGCAATACACAATTGTGAACGATCAGCTGTTTAGAAAGGGGTTGCATATCCCCATGCTGAAATGTTTGAACTCGGAAGAAGCAGAATATATGCTGGCTGAGATACATGAAGGAATCAATGGCCATCATATGGAGGCAGACTCTAAAGAACATGTCAAGAGATGCGATAGTTTCCACCACCAGAAGAACTGAAATATATCTCGGCTCCATGGCCCTTTTTTAAATGGGAAATGGACTTGCTGGGACCTTTCAAGGCTACTGAAGGACAATTAAAGTGGTTGATTGTCCTATTCGGGAATCCCCGGATCTACGCATATTTTCAACTCCCCGAAGCATTTCGTCACTTACTACGCCCGCTATGGATTACTTCACCAAGTGGATAAAAGCAGAACCAGTCACCACAATCACGTCGGCTAGAGTATAAAGGTTCTTTGAACGAAACATTGTTTCCAGATTTGGAATACCGGCCGAGGTGGTAACTAGTAATAGAACACAGTTTGCTGATAAAAGGTTCTAACAATTGATGAAAGACTTACAAGTCAAACATCGCTTCGCATCTGTGGAGCACCCCAGTCGAATGGGCAAGCTGAAGCAGCAAACAAGGTAATTGTGGACGGTCTCAAAAAACGGATGTTCGACGCCAAAGAAAGTTGGGTTCAACAGCTATACTTTGTCGTTTGGAGATACAGAACGAGTACCCAAACTGCAATGGAGGAAACCCCTTTTTCGAATGACATATGGATGCGAAGCCATGATCCCGACTGAAATTGGAGAACCTTCCTGGAGGAGGCTAAATAGTATCAAACAAGGTGAGCAACAAAA